TATCCTTCTAGGTGCTTAGTGCTAGTCAGTGAGTTGAGGCAATTTACAAAAGAATAGGTTCCTTGAGGCGTAAAATTATAAACTCTCACTTAACCCTCACAATAACTTCAGAGTTGGTGCAGTGGTAACTTTAAGATGGTACTGAAGCTGTCTAGGTTCAGACCCCAATGACATGAATTTAAAACAAATTTCAGAATGAAAATGTATCTCTATGTAAAATAGCCAATGTTTCCCCTAACAGAGAGGGGCCTCAATCAACCAGGACATGTTAGATTACAAAAACATAATTTCACCACAACTTAATATTAGGTAGCTTTAGCTCATGATCAAATGCAGTTTTATTTTAATAAATCAATAACATACATTCTATCATATCAGCGATGCATGGGCCAAGGGAGATGTGCAGTAACGATCACCAATGACAATTTTGGGCAAGACCCATGTCCAAATGTATTAAAGAGATTAGCAGTTGAAGCAGTTTGTTCTTAAGCTATCCTGATTGAGACATTTTGAGTCCTGCTCTATTTTGAAGATATATAGAGCACTTTACAATGACATCTCACATGGTTTAGGTCGAAGTTCAAAAGAAAAAGCAATCAATAATGGTATAAAGTTTGAGAGTGGAGTATGCAAAGAAAGAAGAAAGTGTTTGGTTTGCTGTTGGTGCGTAGATGAGCACATGCCGAAGTATTTCTTCATATAGTGAGTGTAAACTGTGTATTTATGAGTCATAGGCTATTTGGAGAGAAAACATAGGAAAAGGTGAAGTATCAAAGGTTTTTGTTTAAAACTTTTTTCTCATTGAATGTCTTGTTCAATGCCTTCTGTTTATTCTCTTTGTAACCCATCTTTTATTAAGGGTGTGTAGGTGCAATTGTTGTATTCTTACTGTTGTACTCAGTGGATGAATCAATGAAAGCAATGGTTTCTTTATCCACAAACATGTTGAAGATCTTTCTTTGTTCTTAGCTTGGACAGTGAGCAAAGTTGCGTTAAAGTTGTTGTAGATGGTGGTAATCATAGTTTTTTTCCTAATGCTCGTTCATTAAAGTGATTCTCATGGTTTAGCAATGCTCAAAGTAATGAAAATAAATATGTGTTTCTTTCAAAGGAATATAAGCTGTTCAATGCTTCTAAAAGTTCAGTCCCCAAAGCTATTTAAAGTAGGATGTTGATTCATTATTATAAATACAATTATTATCATATTCTAGTGTATTATTACATGTCAAGGAGAAAATGCTAGTATGGAAGAATTATAAGTTTGGACCATATAAAGAAAGAAATCAAGGAACAATTTAAGACATTATGAGTTGGATAATATATGTTGCGCGCAGCGGAAATTTTGGCAGCACTTCGGCAGCACAACAAGAGAGTCAGATCGCAATAAGAATTCCCGTCTCACCAAGGAGACAAGAATCTGAAGCGGATATCTCAACCAAGTGAGATATCGGCTCTTCCTCTCATCAGTTCTAGGACTGACCTGTCGAGGGATCCTAAAAGCTATTACAAATCACACAAAAACAGTACAATCAATTTTTACGTGGTTCGGCAAATTGCCTACGTCCACGGGGCAAGGAGGGGGGAGATCTACTAATAGAGAGAGAGAATACAAATAGGATTTACACAAGAATCTCACAAATAAAACCCTCACACAAACTCTCAAATCTCTCACAAAGGGGATGACAAAAACCCTCTCAAAAGGCCGCTGTTTTTCTTCACCAAGAACAGCCACAAACCGCTAGTTTTGCCCCTTGAGCCGCAATCTCTTTGCATGAACTCCTTTTTGCTTGCACTTTCCCAGCCGCAAAAACCAAAAACATGAACTCCTTTTTGCTTGCACTTTCCCAGCCGCAAAAACCAAAAATCTTCGCACCTCTGCCTGCTCACCCAAAAAACAAAAACCTAGAGATGCTTATATAGCTTGTCAAATCAGAATCGGGTGGGCCTGTTTTGTTTGCCACTGTTCACGAGATTTTCTCAAATCTCTTCACACTTGATTGAAACGTGGTGGGGGCCACAACTATCTGCGTTCACAATTCTCCACCTCGGTGAAGTTTTCCCAAAACTGAGCCGACACCAAAGCAACCAAAATGTCCCACTTGTTGCGTCAAGTACGAACTCAATCCACAACAAGTCGAGAACCCGAACGAGAGTCCAAACAATCTCACCCCATCAACTAATCCAAACCGGCTGCATCTGAAAGACTGCCTACGTATCCTCTTGCCCAAGGAATCAAGCCGAACGTAGTTCACCAAATGGCCGCCAACGGCCTCAACAATCACGAATATGCAACAAGTTTCGACAATGATCAAACTTGTTGCTCGGAACCACCTTAGTGAGCATATCCGCCGGATTATCCTTCGTGTGGACTTTCATAATTTCCACATCGCCATCTTCAAGAACATCCCGAACGAAGTGATAACGAACGTCAATGTGCTTCGTTCTCGCATGAAAAACCTGATTCTTCGCCAAATAGATAGCACTCATGCTATCACAATGAATAGTGACGGACCTCTGCGATATACCAAGTTCCTCCAAAAGTCCTCGAAGCCAAATAGCCTCCTTTACAGCCTCCGTAACTGCCATATACTCTGCCTCCGTCGTAAACAAAGCCACCGTCGACTGTAAGGTGCATTTCCAACACACCGGCGCACGGATCAAAGTGAACACATACCCCGTCGTAGATCGGCGCTTATCCAAATCCCCGGCATAATCCGAATCAACATAACCAATGCATAACTGCCCACCTTTAGTGTCCCGCTCATAAACCAAACCAACATTGAGCGTACCTCGAATGTACCACAAAATCCATCTCACGGCGTCCCAATGACCCACTCCTGGATCATGCATGTATCTAGAAACCATGCTTACCGCCTGTGACAAATCTGGTCTCGTACATACCATCGCGTACATCAAGCTCCCAACTGCGCTCGCATATGGAGTCTTCGACATCAACTCTCTATCTTCAACTGACTTCGGTGAAAGACCAGCTGAAAGCTTCAAATGGGCTCCCAATGGTACACTAACTGGCTTCGTATCCATGCTAACATGGAATCGCTGTAGAACCTTCTTCAAATAAGCCACCTGTGTCAAACAAATTCTGCCCTTCTTCTTGTCTCTGCCGATCTCCATCCCTAAAATGCGCTTCGCCTCACCCAAGTCCTTCATCTCAAACTTATTTAAAAGCTGAACTTTCAACTCATCTATAGCTGACCTGGAAGTAGAGGCAACCAACATGTCATCGACATAAAGCCTCGAATGTACCTCAAAATCCATTTCACAGCGTCCCAATGACCCACTCCTGGATCGTGCATGTATCTCTATACCATGCTTACCGCCTGTGACAAATCTGGCCTCGTACACGCCATCGCGTACATCAAGCTCCCAACTGCGCTCGCATATGGAGTCTTCGACATCAACTCACGATCTTCAACTGACTTTGGTGAAAGACCAGCTGAAAGCTTCAAATGGGCTCCCAAAGGTACACCAACTGGCTTCGTATCCATGCTAACATGGAATCGCTGTAGAACCTTCTTCAAATAAGCCACCTGTGTCAAACAAATTCTGCCCTTCTTCTTGTCTCTGCCGATCTCCATCCCTAAAATGCGCTTCGCCTCGCCCAAGTCCTTCATCTCAAACTCATTCGAAAGCTGAACTTTCAACTCATCTATAGCTGACCTGGAACTAGAAGCAACCAACATGTCATCGACATAAAGCAACAAATAAATGTACGCACCTCCTCTCAAATTGTGAAAATACACGCAAGGATCAAACTGGCTCCGAGTGTACGAATGACCAAGCATAAAACCATCAAATCGCCTATACCACTGTCGAGGAGACTGCTTCAAACCGTATAGCGATTTCTTTAGCCTGCAAACCAACTTATCTTTCCCTGCAGCTCGGAATCCCAATGGCTGAGTCATATATATTTCTTCATCAAGATCACCATGAAGAAATGCTGTCTTCACATCCAACTGATCTAACTCCAATCCATACTGTGCCACCAAAGCTAGCAAAATCCGAATCGACGAATGCTTCACCACCGGAGAGAAAACCTCATTGTAATCAATACCTTCCTCCTGTGCATAGCCCTTCGCAACCAACCTAGCCTTGAACCTCACTGGAGTGCCCTCAATGCCCTCCTTCTTCGTGTACACCCACTTGCACCCAATCGCCTTCCGCCCCTTTGGAAGCTCTACAAGCTCCCATGTATCGTTCTTGTGAAGAGACTCCATCTCCTCCTGCATAGCCACCTGCCACGAATCAGCCTCCGAACTCTGCTCGGCCTCTCTGAATGTAGTAGGTACCAGCTCATCGATACTCTCCACCGGAAGTGCATACGCAACTGTGTCGGCATACCGTGCTGGCATCTGTATGTTTCTCCTTTGTCTCCGAACCGCAATAGGATCCTGAACCTGAGCCGTCGGTTCCTGGTCCTGCACATTAATACCCGTATCCTCCGTATCACCGTCGTGCTCGCCTGGCGTCACCTCAGTCGGCACTTGCATGGATACTGTACTATCTGGATAATGTGGAGCTGCATCGATCTCCACCACCTGTGATATCTCCTCCGTCGGGTCGCTCTCCACCTGATGAGAGCTGGGAAGCTTCAAGATAGAAGCCTCATCAAATGTGACGTCCCTACTCAGCACAATCTTCTTATCAACTGGATCCCAAAGCTTGTATCCCTTGACACCACGCTTGAATCCTACAAATATGGTCTTCCTAGCTCGAGGTTCCAATTTATTAGTTTTAACATGATAATATGCAGGGCACCCAAATACCTTGAACTGGTCATAATCGTGTGCTGGCTTTCCCGACCACATCTCCATAGGGGTTTTCCCCTCAATCGCAGATGAAGGCAGCCTATTAATGAGGTGGCTCGCATACGTAAGTGCCTCAGCCCAAAAGATCTTCTCCAAACCACTCTGCGATAATAAGCATCGGATCTTCTCCAGTAAAGACCGATTCAACCTCTCCGCCACCCCATTTTGCTGCGGTGTGTGACTAACTGTGAAGTGTCTCTCTATACCCTCGTCTCGACATAGCTGCTGAAAGGGGTCAGAAGTATACTCACCACCGTTGTCGGATCGCAACGTCTTGATCTTTCTCCCAGTCTGCAGTTCCAATCTCTTCTTCCACTCCACAAATAAATCTAGGACTTCACTCTTCTTTGTCATGGTGTACACCCAATAACGCCTAGAATAGTCATCTACAAAAGTGATGAACCAATGTCTACCACCAAGTGATGCAGTCTTGTTAGGACCCCAAACGTCTGTGTGCACGTAGTCCAGGATGCCCCTCGTCTGATGAATGGCAGTCCCGAACTTCACCTTCGTCTTCTTGCCAAGAACACAGTGCTCACAAAACTCAATCTTCCCACTCTTGGCTCCCTTCAATAGCCCCTGCTTGCACAATGCCTGCAGTGACTTTTCACCTGTGTGCCCCAATCTATAGTGCCAAAGTCTGCTCATGTCCGCTTCTGAAATAACCGAAGCAACCTGGCCAATCTCGGTGCTTCCCTTCAGATAATACAAATTTCGATTGCGGACTCCCCTCATCACCACCAATGATCCCTTAGTAACCTTCGCTCCAGCGTTTTCGAAAGTCACCTTGAATCCCTTCGTCTCCAAAGCTCCAACTGAGATAAGATTTTTTTTTAGTTGAGGAACAAATCTCACCTCCTTCAACTCACGGACTACTCCATCGTGCATCCTAATCCGTACGGTACCTATCCCACAAACACCACAGGATTGATCATTTCCCATGACAACAACGCCCCCGTCGACTTTCTCAAAAGATGCAAACCAGTCTCGCCTAGGGGTCACATGAAAGGTAGCGCCGGAATCAAGCATCCAATCTGATGCATCCACATGGTTCACCTCTGGAGTAATCAATAGAGAAAAGCACGAACCATCGGAATCATCGCCTTTCGCAACGTTC